CTTTTAGAAAGAAATTCTTAATTTATTAAAGGGGATAATTTGCAACATAATTTCTGATTTCTAATAAAATACTGAAACATATATTTTTATTTGAAGTAAATTTTGAAAAGGGGTCATTTGACCCCCGCTTGGTACGTTTAGTGTTAACGTTGCTTTTGAATTGCAAGTGTAATAGCCTTCAATTTACATGGGATACTCTTGTTATTATCTACGTACCTCCAAATATTCTGGTGTCAAATGATTTAGATCCGCCAGAGAGATCTGTTTGAGATTCAATTCGACACCGAGCGCGGCAGCTGCCAACCTAACGGTACGGCATGGGGGGCTCCCCGTGACTTCGTAACTAACAATCGGCATCTTGATTCCTGTAACCACGTGCGATTCATTGTTTAAGCAGATTGTTGTTTCTCGATTCGAACGAAGCCGCTTCTTGTGAACTGTTTCTTTGAAATGAAAGTAACAGCTCAGATGAAGCGTGATTCTTTGAATAATTACTTCTCTCGGGAGCGAAGTAATTTGTCTATTTATAACAGATAATCTGTAATTATTATAATTATAAAAAATGAAGAGTGCAAAATTGACTTGTAAAATAGAGTCAAACAACTGATAAAAGGCCAAATTGATATTGATTTGTGCAATATGGACGATCCGGACGTGAAATAAATTACTGTTTCTTTTTTTTCATTTTTTTTATCGCGGTTATATAATAGTATATAACAGAATCCTTCTGTTATATATACTATTAGTTCATTCCGTTTTCAATGAATTTAGTATCGTTAGTTAATTACATCAAACCAAACGTTTCATCCAATGTATTCGCAAATTCTTCTTCTTTTTCTGCAAAATTGAAACTATTATCCAAGTCTAAACAACATCTGGAATACACTAATGTAATGTTATTTTAATATATTGTGTAAACATTGGTTTAAACACATTACATTACATTACATTACATTTGCAAAAGAAGAAGCCAAACATATCGTTTTTCGTTATACTAATAAATTACATTATTTCCTTTCGTTACAACGTTGAATTGGAAGCTGCTTGAGGGCAACATTTCTCGTGTTTAGTTCAACAATTCGTGATTTATTGCCAACAACATACGTCAATTGTCAACTGGACAATCGCAAATGCTAAACAGCATATTAACTCGTTTACTTGCAAAATCAGTTATAAGAGTGAGAAGTAGATATTCTTGTGTTCAATGAAGACGAACGATTAAAATCGCATTAAATCGGGAACTGAAAGCACAGTGTATATATATATATATATATATATATACATATACACGAAACTCCGTACCGGTTGTATGCACTTGAAACTTCAGGCGACGAAAAAGAGAAATGAAGAGAATTGTGCGCTAGGAAATAATCCCCCAAACTGTCTAAGGAAGTTAGCTGTCTAATCTCTTTATAAATGCCTGCGTATGTTCATACGTCCTCCTTTTCAACACAGAGAGTCATGCGCATGTGCGACCGATTCCAACCTGTTACGAGTACGAAGGCACCGATCAGACATCTTCTCTGCCTTTTCGCTTTGATCTCTCTCTTTTCAATTTCCATCTTAGATCAGTCAGGTTCACTAGAACTTGGATATTTTGTAAATCGAGGCGAAAGGCATTTATCAGAGCTTGGATATTTTATAAATTGAAACGAATGAAAGCTGTAGAGTAGATTATTTGAAATCGACGAAGCGTTCGCGGGGAGTAAGAGATCATTTAGTATGATCTAAAAATATTTTTATCTTATCTTAGTTGTATATGAAAAATAATTGTTGAAAGTAAAAGGTAAGGTATATGGATGTAAATGGTATTTTATGACTTAAAGTGATTACGACGAGTGAAATATGCCTTCCTTGGTGTATTAAACATACGTTTAAATAATTTGAACTTGATTTGTTCTTTACTACGAAGAATATTTACAAGTAAACGTAGAAGATACTTGATATCATTACGTGGCATGAATTTGTTTATTTGCTTGTAGAATGCAATTTCGTTTCGTTCATTTGTCATTCGTGTGTCGAATGATTTTACAATAATGCGATAATGTAGTATTTCTTTGCTGAATGCAATACAATAATGGAATACCATGGGACAAATTGTACATGTTTCCCGTAAATAATGCTGTCACTATTTTACAAGATTAAATCCTTCGTTTGTGATAGTTTGTGAAACGATCGTAGATAGAGACGTATTTATCGAGACGTGTGCTATTCGAACGAGGAACATTGGGATTCCATGGTGGGATGATACGATCACGTTTTTCAACTAAATCAAATTGATCGCTCTAGATGAAAGTGCAGCCTTGAGTGCAATATCTCAGGAGACAACATCGAACAATATTGCATCGGATATAAGAAGAATTT